GCACCGCACAGTGGCTGAATACTGGGGACAGGAAGTGTGAGAGGGAGGAAAGGGGAGATTTCCTCATGGCTTGTCCACACACTGATGAGACCACATAAAGCGTCACATTGCAGTCCAACCTGTTCCATGCCATCCGCTCAAACAGATTTAAGCCAGTGCTTTCAGTAAACACTGGTCCTGTGGTGGAGACACAGAGTGCATTATACAATCTAGTCTACAGAAGAAGTAGATTTTGATTAAAGGCAAAATCAGACACAACTTAAAAAGAATGTAAGTAATCAAAGTATCTTTATTTTATTTGTACAGGTTACCCTTGATGTCCCTCTGTCAAGAGAGCCTGTAATCAAACTCCCTCTGGTCATCCTGCTGGGTTCACCAAAACCACATGAGAAAAAGACGAAAAAGAGGTCCATCTGGTTTAGAAAGCTTCCTAGTTAGAAGGATGTGTTAGATCACCAGGAAGTGGCTTGCATGTTCTTTGAAATGAATATCAGGACTGAAAATAAAAACACGAGTGTAAATAAGTGGATGTTTGAACTACCTCAAGTGGGCAACTTCCCAAGTGTCCACTAGGTGGAGATGTGGGCCACATTAGAGAGTAGAAAAAGATTTTTATTTATTTATAGTAAGATAAATTTAGAGGGAAATGTGTCTTTCACTACACACAGCTCCACATTGTTTGATTTTTAATTTTCCGAATCAGGCAGTTAGGTCCATAAGTTTATGAACAAAGCCGGATGTTTATTAAATATACCTCTGTACACCATCACGGGGGATTTTAAATCGAACAATCAAGATCTGACTGAAGTGCAGACTGTAATTCAGGGGTTTTCACAAAGCCCTCGCTTTTTTAGTAACTGGACAGACTGAGATAATATTTAATAATATTAAATAATTAAAAGGATTATTTTTAATACTTGTTTTAAATCCTGTGCAGTCAGTGACAACCTTGACATCCACTGTTAGGCCTTTACTGCAGACGCTGGCAGCTGCTGCTTGTCTGTGAATCTCTCTGCTTTCAGTTTTGTCTTCAATAAATGAAAAGCTGCTTTATTGGGTTGGGATCAGGTGACTGACTTGACCTTTGAAGGATATCCCATTTCTTTGCCTCGATAAGTTCCTGGGTTGCTTTTGCATATGCTCTGTGTAACGAGAGTATAGCCCTGCTACTTTCATCAGCAGTCATATCATCAGTAAACGCTAGCTGGCATTGGCAGCTATACATTCCCACGCCTCCACCGTGTTTGAAGCATGATGTGGTATGCTTTAAGTCACGAGCTGAGCTCCTTTCCTCTTCCCATCATTCTGGTAGAAGATCATTTCTATTTAATCTGTTTTAGGTTCTTTTAGATGTTTTCTGTCTAATCTAGCCTTTCTGTTATTGTGTATAACTAGTGGTGAGTTTTATGCTGTAAACCCTCTGAATTTACATTCATTAAGGTGTCTCTTGATTGTAGACTCTGGCAATGGTACGCCTAGATACTTTAGAGTGCTCTGCATTTTGATAGATGTTGTGAAGGGTTTCTTTGTGGGTTTTTTTACAGCAGCCCTGAAAGGTCAAATGCACTCGAACTCAAGAAAACACCAGCACAATGATGCTGTAGCACACAAAACACAAGGAAAGGGCCAATGAAAAAAAATCTGTGATCATCCACTTAGGTGTTTTCTGTGGATTTGTCCCCTCCTAAAGTTTTTGTTGTCACTCTGATGGGTTTATTTTCAGCCTAATAATGGCCACCTTTACTTTCATTGACATTTCTTAGACCTCATATTGAAAATTATCAAATTTACTATGGCAGTTTAATTTAACTTAAAGCACTAACTGGCCATAAATCCAAATGTCAGGCAATTGTTCAATAACCTTTGAGCCTCTGAAAATGGAAAACGATGCAAACCCGCCAAAACAAAACAAAAAAAGCCTGTAATTCCTGGACAGTTAATGCAATACTTCTGTTAAATTCTGCACCTCAGTCAGATCTTGATTTTAAAAAGAGTCACAATTCAAAAAAATTTGGTAACTGCTGCTTTAAATACTAATCATCTGTTGTATTATCAACATACAGTCTTTGTTAAATAGGCAACAGACCTCTACACCCATCCAATCAAAAAGAACAAACTTCACATATCTCTGTGCATAATTGTGAAGTACAAAGTACCATTAAATGGACACACATTGTAGGTTAAGTACCTAACCACAGTTCTTGTACAGTAGAGTAAGATTCTTCCTGACATAGTTGTATGAAATAATCAGAATTTTGATCTGGTCTAAACTAGTTCTTTAAAACAAACTTATATATGAGAAACTGCATAATTACATAATTCCTTATCTCAAAATCTCCCTCCGTCTTGTGTAGAACATTTACACAGCGCAGCGGCGGCGAGACACAGTGACTCAGAAGGAGCTGAGAATCAGATGGTAGGGCTTTCTCAAGCTCGTCGTTGTCCGTGGACTCGTTTTGCAACAGAGGAAAGTATTTAACAAAGGCACATTCATGATTCTAACAGAACATGTGTTACCCAACCAGCGGTTCTTAAGTGAAACCAGGCCCATGTTCCTGACAGAGACTCAGACATCTTTCCTTGCCTAGGAAGGAACAACATGTTGAGAGCTGAGCATTTTATGGTTGAGATTCATCCTAGAAACATTTGACTATTGCGGGACCACATACAGCACACCCACCTACCCACAGGGAGAGAAAGAGAGGTAGTGGGAGAGAGAGAGCAGTGTCTGGTTCTGACTCAGCACAAACAGGGCTTCACGATTTCACAGTCAGCCCACAAAACAGAGGGAAAAAAATGACAGAAAAGATCTCAGCATTAATAATACAAAAACATGAGCGTGACCTGCACTGATTCTAATGTTCTGGCCTGCCTGCCCACCGCACTGCTATTTATGTAATTGGAAAATTAAAAATCATATTTCAACCCACATCTGTTGCAGCTGACTTGTCAGCGTGTGTGACTTGAGTGTGTTAGGAAGACTATTAACATTTGAGTGGAAACATAAAATGATATACGTCACAAATGGCTTTTAGTATATCAATTATTGTAAGTAACTGTGATACTTTGACAGTACAATGACTATGTGGGCACAGGAAGACTGGCAGCGGTTGACGTATGTCAATGCAAGCTGGAAAGAAGGAGGAAATTACAGGATCTAAATGGTTTACGGTTGAATACAATAGAAATCTGGAGTGTGGTCAAACACAGACAAATCAAGCTAATTCTGCCTCCCCCGCCTGCATGGAGATATCTGCAAAAAGCAGCGACAGTGTAGGCCATGTTCTTCAGTATACCAGCATACAAGCTGTCAGTATGGTTGGGAATGATGAAGTGCAGTGTGTGACAGATTCCTCTAATTCCGGGAACACCTGCATGAAGGCGTATCTACAGGGCAGCAGTTTGGTTCAGTTTTTTGGCTGCACTCATGGTCTTGGCTGCTCTGTAGCAGAGCCTGCCTGGTAACCAGTCTGGCTCCATGTACAGTGCAGGCTTGTCAGCCAGCCAGCTCTCTCTACACACACACACACACACAGGCAGACACTCAACACGCGCCGCAGCCTTTCCTGGGTTTTGGAGACAGGGTAGAGGGAGGTGTGGCCTGTGGCACCTCCCACCTCCGTAGCCAGAGCGAGTACCATGACAACCATGTGAGCCTGCCGGCGACTCCCTGTCTTCATCGGCCACGGTTGCCATGGCAACTCCCCACGGGGCTCCCGCAGATCAGCGGGATGGGCGTCCAGTTGACTAACCCTCTCCCAGCTGGGGAACGGCTGAGGGAGTGCGAGAGAGAGAGAGAGAGAGAGAGGAGTGAAGAGGAAGGGAGGGTGCATGAATGTGTAGGATGGCACAGCAGCGCCTGGGGAGAGGGAGAGGGAGAGAGAGAGAGAGAGAGAAAGGAAGGAGAGAGACTTCAGAAGGAGAGACACGGGAGACGGGGAGTCTGACCTGCTCAAGCGGCCTATTTCTGCCTACGTACAGGCTTTTAGCTTGCCAGCAGACAGCAAAGTGTGCAGAAAATCTTACGTAAATACATATTAAATCTGAATATTTCTCAATCTAACCGGTCCCGCTTCTTCGGGAGCAGATTGGATTCTGCGCACACTCATTTCACTAATTGTGCACAAGCTGCTTTACACGATTCAAACTCTAATCGATCCATCAGCAAAGCTTCTGTAGAAATGTGCGTCTCTGCTGCCTTTCTTCCATTTTCCATTCGTGTCAGTGACAAGTACCACTCTTTGGGTTTGGACTGAGTGTAATAGGGCCACAGATGGCTCTGTGTCTCTAGTGCGGTTGGAGAAAGAAATGGCATCACTGGGTCCATTGGCTGGAGACTACTGAGGGGCTTTTTCTACTCTCTAATTGCTCCAAGCTGCGTCCCCTTGAACGGCCAGAGACACACACAGATTTTCATGAGTGAAGGAAGAGGGGGCAACCAAAGCTGAACCTGTTTTTAAAGGAGCGCATGTTCATTAAAGCTCACATTTCATTGTTTCTCCTTAGAATATGAATAATGCTTTCAGGGCCACAGGAACAAAGAACTGCGTTTGTTAAGTGCATTAAAATGAAGTTTTTATTTTGGAAAAGGAGAAAGATAAACTTCCCACTGTAAACATTTTCTGATCTTTCTTTCTGTAAGTGCAGAAAAGTTTGATTTCTTCTTCTTCTTCTTTTTTTTTTAATATAAAATCCTTAACATATTTTAAATGTATAAAATAGTGACACAAGGCAATTCTGTCAGTGTTACAGAAGGCAAGTTGCCAAAACATTCTATACTAATTCAAATAATCTACAGTTTCTCTTATTATTTTTCTCTATTAAACGTGCAATAATACTCCTAAAACTAAAACTAGCTCTACATAAAGTGTGACTATATTGTGCACTTGTAGTGGTAACCTTTGGAATTACAAATTGTTTTTACTGTTCTAAAAAAATCCCTTGACACAAGTTGTTTGATTACACAAAGGATATAAAAACAAAACAAAAACAGTTCATTTCTATTTATGAAACTCAGAGAAGCACCCTCCCCTGCATAGGTGGACATTGCATATCTTGCAGCCGAACACGCTTTCATGTCGCAGTCCCTTGTTGGTGCAGTTCCTGCAGCGGCGCGAGCGCTCCGACATGCGCTCTAGGCGATGTCCATACTCTATGGGTGAATCTGCGTGTCTCTTGCGTGCTGCCCGCTCCATGCCCCTCGCCCCTTGGTAGTCTCCAATCAGCTGCTGTGCCAGGCGAACGCGGAAGTGACGTTGGGTGAACTGCTTGCCGTTGAAGCCCGCTGGTGGCGCGCCCCCCCGACTCTCCCTCAGGATGATGTATGCATTGACGATGCACAGGTTGACATAGAACCACAGGAAGTAGCGCCACCACTTCTTGCACGGCCTGCCAACCTGGTAGCACTCCCTCAGCTGGTCACACAGGTCCACGCCCCTCATGTTCTCCTGGTACAAGAGCAAGGGCAGAGGTCGGGGCACGCCAAAAGACAAACCTGAGCTGTCTATGCTGTCATTCTCACCATCTCTGTCTGCCTCGTGCTGCTGCCGGCCTGGACTGATGCCCACAATTCCTGGAGCGGAGTTGGTGGACAGGCAGCTGACCACCTTGGCGTCCCTTGTCACAGTAGCAACCAGGTTGCCACGCTGGCATTGGTAGAACTCGCCCTGGGACAGCTTTCCGACGTTTCGTGGGCGGAGGACCTCTGGGTAACCTTTGCGCCCGGGCTGAGTGGGCCCACAGGCATACTGTCCGTCTCTCAGCAGCCTCTGGAGGAGGGGCACAGAGGTGAAGAAGCTGTCCATGAAGAGATGGTGGTACTGACCCTCCAGGCCGCGCACTAAAGAGGTTACCACTCTGTAACCGAGGCAGGCTGCTGCCTCGTCTTCACTGGGCCGGCCTACGTAGATCTTGGCTCGATGACAGTAGCCTGAGCGAGAGTCACACAGCATCCACACTGTCAGCCCCTTCCTGAGGGGCTTGGAGGACATGTACTGGGTGGGGGAGAAACGTCCCTTGGTGACAATGGCACACTTGTCTATGGTCAAACAACGATTGGGCACGTACGCGTCCCACATGGTGTTCTCCACCACATCAAGGAGAGGCCTGATTTTGAAGAGGCCATCATATCCACGCTCCCCACGCACGGGCTCTGACTCACGGTCGCACAGCTGGAGATACTGGGTGAGTTTCTCAAAGCGCCTCGCCGTCATTGTCTTTTTAAAGCCCGCATTGCCGATGAAAATATCACTGGCCCAGTACATGCCGGTGTCTGGAAGCTGATTGATGCCCATAAGAATATTCAGCCCCACATAAGCTTTCATCTCCCTAACATCAGTTGGGTGCCAGTGGGGGTCTGATTTTCCGCTCCTCCTTTGCCGATAGAGGGCGTAATTGTTTGTTTGTTCTACCATGTGTTCAAAAAGAGAATCTGGGAAGAGTATCCGGAAATAGTCACGGGTGTCAGCATCGTCCCCCAGCGAGTGCTGAGGGCCACTGACAGCGGAGAAGGGCTCGATTGAAATTACCTGGTCAGGCTCGCCCCAGAAGTCGGGAGAAGTGCAGTCTTCATCCAAATCATCTTCAAAGCTGAAAAAACTCCTGCGCTCCTCCTCCTCCTCCAAATCGGAGAAATCAATATCCGAATCGTTCGAGGTGGTGTCAGAGCAGTTAGTGGAGGTAGAATAATAGCAGTCCTCTGCATACTCCTCCTCGTCGTGCTTGAGCCCATTGCTGCCTGTGACTAAAATTATGTTGCAGCCTCCTCCTGCGATGAAGCTGGCCGCGTCTGCAGTCTCCGCCGCCGCGGCTGCTGCTGTGCTCGTGAATCCATTCTCCCCCTCGCCGCCGCCGCCGTCCTCCTCTTCCTCTTCCTCCCGCAGTTCGTCTTCCTCGTCCGAGTCTGGCTTTCTGTACGGAATCTCAAACCACTTCACATCGGCCGAAAGGTTAAGCGGAGAGTCTTGGCTGTCGCACGCCGCTGTACTTTCTGTGTCCGCGCTAGTTTCCAAAATAGTAAAAAGCTCTCTCCCTTTTCTTGCCGTCGCCATGTCGGGGTATTAAAGTGCCCCTGCATGAGTCTTTTTATGTAGATTTTTTCACTGTGGAAAAATATTCGCGCAAACCGGCCATCCGAAATGAACTGATGTGCACTTAACAGCAGCCTCTTCCCTCAAAAAAACTTGCCAGCGGTGGACCTATGCGGCGTCTATAAGCTTGATTCTCATTGTTTCCGCTCCTGGTTTTTCTGGGCTTTGTAGCGCAGTGTGGCCGCAGACGTCAGAAGCTGCATGCATGTCCTGCTTTGTAGGGCGTTTTGCGACTGCAGCTGGTGGGGTTGCTAGTTCGCTAGGCTGGCAGATGGCCGCTTGCTGTTCTAATGCCCGCTGGCATTCCCCACCATCAATAAGCCGGATACCCATTTCTGAGGCCGCGGAGATAACAGAAACCACTGCTTTAAAAAACAAAAAACAACAACAACATCAAAATCACACGCTGTCAATCAGCTGTCACACCAAACAGCTGTAAAACATTGTGGATCCTGCAAACAGATTACAAACTCTGAATTTCCCCCCAAACATTTCTAACTTTGTTTTTTCACAAGTTTATTAAGTTTCGTTTTTTTCCCTAATGTTTGCAACTGTGACAACTAAATGCATAAAAAAACCAAACACAGCAGTTTTAAAGTGCAGGACTTCTTATCCATCCCCATGCCAAACAGACACCACAATGAACTCGGGCAGAGAAGCAGTTTGTTCATTCATAAACATGCTTCTTCCCTCTGACAGGTTCTTACATGAATCTGAAGCCCTATAGGCTATTGTGGAATTAGGGACCTCCCTCTATTTTATGAATGTGGGCAGATACTCTTGTGTTTTACTCTCAGACTGAGGTTGGAGATCTTTGCTTGATGAGATTGATTCCCCCTGCAGGTAGTGGCTGCAAACCCGTGAGATGCTGGCCCTTTTATTTTCCTTTAAATGTGCCATTTCAATTAGGATTTCCCGTGTTTACACACTATACACTCATGACTCTGCCAAGCACTTTCTAAGAGCCTGTGACATTTGCCAGTATAAGTTAACTCTTCAGTCCCATTATGAACAGATCAGTGCAACAGCTGAGCTCTAGTCGTGAACTGCAGCTATACTTGCAGTTATTATTATCAGAATAAACAACCCTTTTATGATTACTGTTGTTGTTTATGTTTTATGGGGTTTTCCTTCATCGGTGTAACACTTGGAAGCTCAAAATGGCCATTGTAATATGTGATCTAGGGTTAAACAAGGATGCTTTTGACATTTCTGTATGCTACTCTGCATTAAATAAAGTATTCGCTACATTGTACTAGTTATATAGTTATATTAATTACACATAAACAGCATATTACTGAGGGTCACTTTCCCACAACAGACAGCAGAAAATGTAAAATAAGACATTTGGCTTTGACTTGAAATAATAAAACTTGTTTCTTTTTCGTTTGACTGAGGACTGGTTAAATCCTTTCTTTTTGTTAGGGTGGGGGAGGGTGTGGGCTGCAGGAAGGGTCCTTCCCAAATTCTTTTAGCTGTGGCCTGAGTCTACATGGCTGGCTGAGCACTGGGTTGCTGCCCCTGGGCCCTGCAGCAGAGGCACGATTTATGCGTCCTTCCTCACTAGCTTATTGCACAGATTCTTGTTGTCTCAGTGGTATCATATTGCCTCTCTGAGCTAGAGGCCTGCTGTTTTTATCTGCAGAGAAGGAACTGAATGCCATACGAACAGTGCACACTGGGAACCAGTATTCTGGAAAACAGTGGAAAATGAGGGAGGCTGTGGACCTTCGATATCCAGCCCAAAAATAGAAGTAGAGAGGGGGAAAAAATGGCTCACTCCAGCGTTTCCAGGCCCCTGGAGCAGAGTACTGCAGCAGACCCCTCAGAGACTCCTGCGGTGGGGTGGAGAGACGTCAACCAATGGGGGTGCAGGCGTTCTGTGTGTGTGTGTATGCGCGTGTGTGCCTGTGCGGCAAACTCAGCTCCTCCACTGCTCAGATCCATTTCCTGTGGATGAGTTCAGAGATGGTTTTTGAGTGTGTGTGTCTGTGTGTGTGCATGCATCTGGTTGCATGTGAGCAAATGGTGCAACCACTGCAGCTCCCGCTTTAGACAGGCGGCCTTTTTTCTCTGTCATTTTGGTATAGTGTCTGCTTTGCTTATGTGTATGTAATGCTTGTCACTGAGGGGCTTGTTAATCACACATCTCCTTGCACTGCCAGAAGCACCCTCAGTCTCAGCTGATGTGATTAGAATTACGAAAGCAAATCATAAACAGTGGATTTTTTAGTAAGCAGACCATCAGATGATTTGATGAGCTGATGTTTGACATAAGTGGGGAAACTGATGAGCTGTAGTGCTATTAATGTAAGCTAAGCTGTCTTTTTAGGACAGTTTTGCTATATTATGGACTCTTTACTAAAGTGTTGCTACATAATGAAATGGTTTTTAGCGTTTTGCTGAACCTTTAGATGACCCAGTTACCTGCCCAAACGCTCCATGATGTGTAATTTTGACCTTGAGAAATATTCACCTGATTGTCCCCTCCCTTTAGGCAAAGGGAAAACACTGCCCTCTTGTGTTGGATAGAGAGCAGTGATCACATGAGCAGTCTGACAAAGTTAAAGTCTTTAAAATAATAATAATAATTTCACGATCAAATGTTAATTTTATTATATTTATCTTATTATGGCCGAGCAAATCTTTGCGGTGAAGCACACAGAGGCTTTATTTTGGTCTAGTCAGAGTGCAGTAATGTGAAAAATCCAGTGTGCTTTGAGCCCAACAGTCTTCACATGACTTTCCTCTTAGATATACTTGCATTGATACTGGATCTCAGAATGAATATAGCAATTATAATGAGGAGTAATTAAATTATGACAGTGAAAAAACTGGCACACTGCTCTATAACAGATAAGTTTTTGTGCATATACAAAAATATCAATGCAAAAAAACAAAAAAAACAATAACATGTTATCTTGCTCTTCAAAACAGATGAAAAAATCTCCAAGTTGGGCAACAGGTTATTTTACAAAGTAGTTAAAGCTACTGGAGAACTTTATATGCTTTGGCCACTAGATGGAGGAAACAGACAGAATACTGAGGGAAATGAAACAAACGTAATTATACTCAGCATCATGTTTTATGCTCTCTTTGTGCGCAAAGCTCTCTTAACAGACCAGTGGAATAAGAAGTCTCTGTGTATTACTCACCTAAGTTCTCACTTGGCTCTTAGTGCATACACCATGTGTTCCTCATTATGCCTTTTGTACTCGAGTAGGACTCACAGACCTCATCGTTGAGGCCTTGGCTCTGCCTTTTGCACAGTTAGCGCTTCTGCAAGTTCAGGTCTTAGGAAAAAAAAAAATCTGTGTCTTACTTATTCCTTAAATTCATTCATTTACTCCCATAATTCATTCTTTGTGTGTTATGGTCACCATTTTACTGACCTTCATTTTAAAAGGGGAACCACAGTGTGTTCTGTAGGAAGGTGAGGCAATTTAGCTAAGCTTAATTTCCTGATGACTGCAAATGTAAAATGTTTTAAATACCAGACCCTACTTCTATGAGTCAATCTTCTCTGTATCATGGATGGACGCACAGTTAAATATCAGACACCACTGTTAAGCACATATTTATTGGCTTTATACCAACCTTTTAGTTTAGGCAGCTGCTCATAAGTATAGGCCAACCCACAAAAATCAGGGCTGCACACAGCCGGTCAGAAGAAAGAACAGGCAGGATAAAACAGACGTGGGCAATTAATGTTCCCAAGGGGCCACACAAGAAACTGGGACTGTTGTGGATGTCCATACTAACTAGCTTTTGAAGAAATTAAAAGAATATTGAGCAGAACTGAGTTCAGCTTATTAGTGCAGAACCTCGACAGCAGCCTCAGGTTCTCATTTAGGCCTTTGGAAAAATTAATTGCCCATACCTGGTGTAAAGGATAGACTTCCAGCTTTCATGTTTCACAAATGAAAGTGCCATGAACCTGCATTCTTTTTTATGGCCAGCAGTGGGCTACTACTCTGGCTGCACAAAGACTTCCAGTTGTATAGTAATCTGGTTCTTGATTTTCTTGCTCTGTGACCTCATTAAATGTCTCCCCTGATGACTTAATCAGTTTAGACACTAGTTTCAGGTCATAACTGTCATATTGAGTACTTGAAGTTCTTTTAATAAGTTTTGATCTTTCACAAATCTATTATTTGTACCTAATATTCAGGAGGAATAATGAGGTGTGAGGTTTTCATCCTGGTCATGGAACACTGGACCAGCTCTTTATCTTGTTCGTGTGTATGGATGTTTGCCCAAAGTGTGAGAGTTTGGGGTGACTCTAGTTCAGGAAGTAGATCAGGTCATTTACTAATCAGTAGGCTGGTGGTTCGATCTCTGACTGCTCCACTTTGCATGCCAGTGTATCCTTAAGCAAGATAACAAACCCCAAGTTGCTCTCTGATGCGTCCATCAGAGTGTAAATATGTGTGAAAGCAGAGTTTGAAGGTACTAACTCTCATTATCACACACATTCATACAAGCACTGTTTTCAATGTTTAAACTCAAGAATGCATGAATGTGTACAAATGGGTTAATGAGGCATGTTGTATAAATCGCTTTGAATGCTCAAGAAAAGTAGAAAAGCACTACATAAAAACCAGTTCATTTGCCATTTATCAACCAGTCTACATGTGCTTTATGGACTTGAAGAAGGTATTTGACTGTGTTCTTTAGGGGATCCTGTTTGAGGTGCTTTGGGAGTATGGGGTGTCTGACCTGTGTTTACGAGCTATTTAGCTGCCACAGGTTTGTCACTGATTTCAAGGCGGAGACAAGTGGTGGAAGGCTTCCACCTTGATGGACTCAGGATCTTGTCTCTTCTTTTTGTGGATGACGTAGTTTTCTTGGCTTCATCAGTTAGTGAACTCCAGCTTGCACCTGAGCAGTCTGCAGCGAAAATGAGTACCAGGGTTTGTCCAAAGCTAGTGTTCTCAGCAGGAAAAGGGTGGAGTGACATT